TATCAAGGAGCTTCAAATTATAAAACGAAAATATGCGGACCAACCTCTGCTTTTCACGAATTTGTCAAATGAGAAAAGCAGGAAGGCTATTTTGAGGTGTCTATTAGCTACGCAACGAAAGGTTGAAAGCTTTGCCAGTCTTCTCGAGTGGCACGTAATCGGAGCAGCACCACAAAAAATATTATTTGCGTCCTCGGACTTCAGACGATAAACCGATGAAGCATGATTTGCTCTAAGGGCCAGCTGAATACTGAAATGAAACTATCGTTTTGGACACCATGTGATGGAAAGCTGCAACACGGAGGAGGAGTTTGGGATCATCATGACATCTCGTCGTATTTTTAGAAATGTCCAGACCGTTCTACATACAGTTGTATATTAGCTGAAGTATATTCTCGTACAGGTCTTCCGAGGGTCTGCGATCCTGGTAAGAAGTCTGGATATAATGTCCAAAAAGTTACTATGTATAAAAGAGCTAAGAACTGCAAATCGGCGGGCCCACCAGCGTGCTAAATTAAAAAGGTTACCACTGGTAGCTCCAATGCCATGTATCCCCGCTATTTGGTCAGAGTAAATACTGTCGATGTGACAACATCATCTGCGGAAACGAGAGTTTCGTTGAAAACGTTTTAAACAGCCTGTTCTACAGTATATGGAGAGGCGTCAAACATGAGTTCTGAGCAAAATGGATGCTCTAGAACAGCTGTTGTTGCTGTTTTAGTTATTCATAGAGACGCGTAGCTATATCAAACCATTGTGGAGGCGCGCCCAGCGCCGAGCTCACCAGCGAGCGAAACATCGAATTCTCCATTAAATCCTGTCTCAATGTCGCGAGCGATGCGAGCTCACGGCTCTTAGCATCATATAGCAAAGTCGTACATCGGAACAGCTCTGGATTGCAAAGAGACGAAGGCTAGTGGTACAGTGGTTCAGCGCGGGTCATACTTCCAGGACCGTTGTTTAAGCGCAAAGCATTGAAACATACTTACTTTGAGGGGAAATTACTGACTTCTGAGCAATGCCAATTGAAGGAGGATTAATGAGCAGATTGACCAGAAATATTACAACGTTAAAGTTGTAGTACTAAAAATGGTAACCTCACGACAAGTTCGTGAAGGTGGTCGATAACGAAAGCTCTCAATTCTCTATAATACTTATGCTGTAGCTATGACCTGTGTGTATTATTTGAATTGCTGTGCCGCTGTCCGCACACAAGGTTTTGCACATCAGAAAAAAATGAAATCGAGAAAAAATGTGGGTACGACCAGTGTATTCGTACTGTTATTTGGCATTAATAAGCTCAAACTCATGCGGCCTCCACATTATGTCATTGTTTATTATGGGCAACAAAGCCGATGTTGCTGCTACGAAGCTGGCGCAGGGGATTATTTGCCACTGTAGCCACGTGTTTAAGTAAGTCAAATTCAAAACGAAGAAAGCACTCCTGCTTTCTCAGCCCCCGCAAAGCTCTAGTTGTCTCCATGTTCTGCTACAAAAAGATCGTGAAAAGGTGGCGATGGCCTCTTCGAAGCTTGCACTACAAGAAAAATTGTAGTTACTAGTTGGACGAACTATTTGTTTGTATTTTAAAGTGGTATAAAGCAGGAAAGAAACGTCCAAAAGACATCTTTCAAAAGGTAGTATTCTCGTACTTACTCGTTTCTAGAAAACGCTCTTTTGTAGCATGATTGCAACTTTGTCAAGCAAATTTTCACAGTCGACGCTTAGTCTATATCGACTGGTACGTCTTTTTCGACAGTCTACGACCGCAGATTTTGGCCGCTCTTCAATTGTGGGTGCCTTTCATTCCAAAATCTGGAGTATTGGGCCAACAGCTAAACATTCCCAGTATCCAGAAGGACATCGCCCTTGCGAGCTATCAACGTCTCTTTCATCGATTTTGGGGTATAACCCATTTTTTCGATTTCTTTATAGAGGTCATGGTTGCGCTGGTTGAGTAATTGGAGAGCTGCCTCGTCATCGATCTTGGATAGATCAACCATCGACTTGCTCTTTGTCAAAAGAGGCTCCTTCAGAGATAATGTCTTCTGTGAAAGCACCTTCTCCAGTCCCATGCCCCTCTCCTCCTCATCCACCTTTCCACTATCGGCCATCTTGGCATCCTTCATTTTCTCTTGAGTTCTCAAAAATCGCTCGCCACCAATCGTAGATATTATGCTCACAGAGTCCGTCTTGCCTGGGTAAAGGACGTTCGACTGACTCGTGACAGATGAGCCTTCAGCGAAGGTTGCAATGGCAGTAACAGCCGTCAGGATGTAGCAAAGGCGCATCTTGTGCGTTGGGGCCGGTGGCGAAGGGAGGAGGGGGGGTGGTCTTGTGCCTTGTGAGCAGATTTTGGAAGTGAAGGTATTGCCGAATGGTGGGGCTGATGCGATTGTAGTATGTATAGCAGCTGCCGATCAAAAAATGAGGGTAGATTCCCAAATGGTACGTATGCGGAACTGATCGGATTAGAGATCAGGATTTGAGACCTGAATTATGAACAGACTGAAACCAAAGAAAAACACTTTTAAAGGGGAGAAGATGAAGCATTTACCGAGGTCTTCTGGTTGCTACACGGACATATCTACAACGTAGCACTAGTGAGTGTACTACCGTCCGCTGCGGGTGTAGCAACTGCCTCCAGTTCCTCCAGTGGAGGATCCACGTCGCTGTCAACGTCAGAGGGAATGTCCACAACCTGTGGTAGCTGAATGACCTCGCGAGGAACACGGCGGGCTCGCCCACGAGGAACATCAGCAACGCGGCGTACGTACTCAGCTGATATAGCCTTGATCACCGTCACAAATGTCGCCATTGAAGGATGCGGGGTTGGGAAACGTGTATTAAGCTCCCTGTTAAACCTCTCCAGGGGATTATTCGTTCGTGCGACCAACTCGTTGTTCATGCCGAATACGTTCCAGACATCGATGGTATACTGCTCCAGCCAAGTGCGGTTGAAATACCCCCAAAAATCGGCCCATTTTTCAGTAGAGTAGGTCACGCCAGCTTGAGCACAGCGCAACTTGATCTCACGCTTTACCCACTTAATACCTCGCTCGATGTGAGCAGGATCAATCACCGTCAGGGTGTCTAGGACACCACGTGTCATTGCAATCAGACACTCTTCCTCCGGAATAGCATAGCGCTTCATAGCCCGTCGGAGTGCTTGTTTCAGATGAAACAAGCACCCCAACACAATTGCGTTCGGAAACTGTGTTTGCAGTGCGTCCAACAGTGGCGCTTCGAAGTCACAAACAATTTCGGCCGGTTCGAGTTGCTGGTCCGTTGATTGTACGATAAAATGAATCATATCCCAGTAGGCGTCGCCAGTACGCGAGGTGCTCAGAATGTAGAACACCGGCACGAACACTCCAGAGGCTCGGTCGTGGACCATGAACACAACGCACTGTGCGTAACCCGGCGGGACACACCGAAAAGTGCCATCCACAAACAACGTGGTACCATGATAGCGTAGTAGCGCGACCAGAGATGGATGCGCCCACCCAAGCAAGCGGGAAGGCTTGTTCAAATCGTTGCGGTTAATGGTGACGTAGTGAAACTGGAAAAAGGAAAGCTCCTCGTCTAGTGCCAATGAAAGCGGAGGAATTTCAATAGAGCCGTGAACATTGCTAGAGTAATGCGCGCTTCTTGCTCGGTGTACTCGTCGGACAACTTGTTGCTCTGACAACCCACGAACAACGTTGGGATTGTCAGCTGAGTAGAACTGGCGTCGCAATTCTTCCCACACTTGGCGCACAGGCCAAGCGACGTGCTCAATCGCAAGAAGGTCGGCTTGAGCTTTCATCTGGTCCTCAACGTTGATGACGACGTTGGCAATGGCTTCGATGCGGCATGTGTGCAGCTTTACAGCAGCATACGCCATCGATGCAATAGTAAACTCCAGCTTTCCTCTGCAACCTTGGCGAAACTTAGAGCATCTGTACACAATTTTCCTTGAGGACGACCATGCCTTGCAGTACTTATAGCCCTTGTAGAAGCATGTCGTCCGCTCACCACGTCGTGGCACAGACCCCACATCATTTGCGAGTTGCTGTCGAGCTTGCTCGAACAGCAACTCAGTGCTAACGACGTCCTCGACCGGCTCAGCTGGCTCCACTCCGCCATCCTCCGGCGCGCCCTCAGCCGGCTCAGCAGGCTCCACCTCGGCATCCACCGACGCGCCCTCGTTTGCCTCTCGATTCATCTTCTCCACTGACCAACGCACGAGCAGCCTCGAGGCTGAAGAAGTGCGTGAACTTACCAATCATTTTCAGATCCCATGTCAGATCTCCAGTGAGATAAATATCTGATCTAGAATCTGATCAGTTCCGTATACGTACCTTTTCGGAGCTAACCAAAATGAGAGCCTGTGCTTTTGGTTGTTTACGCATTTTCAAGATTATTTCAGCGAAACTCATGTACAGTAATTGGTCAGACTCTGTACGATAATGACAGCTTCGCATGGCTATTTTAAATTCGTGAGTGGGAGCCACACTCATCATCGAGTGGAAGAACTGGATTGCTGGCTACACTCAATTCGTATTTTACGAAGCTTTGCGAGCTTCTGTTCGGGTAGTTGCGCGAAATGTCGTGGATCAAGTTGTCGCGTGAGTAGATCATAGCAATTCTCATCTGCAATCGTGCGCTTCCGTTTTTCTGGACTACTTTGAATTTTCGCCTCGCGTAACATAAATCGGTTTTTGGTTTAGTTTAGGCTAAAACTTTATTATATCGTTTTATTACAACTTTGTAAGAACATCGCTCTAGGTGTTGCAAAAAAATAACGTAGCTAAAACCGAGAACACGTTACATGTAGTTGTTAGATCTATTTTTGCCAAGGTCAAAAGCAGATAAAGATTTGTAGAGGCAGCATGTCACATGCGTGGGGCTGGCATGGTAGCACACCTGTCGACGCATTCCCGCCACACGAGTTCCCTTGCTGTATTCATTCACCATTTCGCCTTCGAATACACAAACCTACGCCAAGCCGCCACATCATGCGATTGACGTCAATTCTTCTTCTCGCTGCGACAGTATCTTCTCTCCTTGCGGGCGACTGCACAGCACAGACAACGACAAAACTGTCAGTCACGGCGATGATGCTCCCTGAACAGACATACCCCACAAATGCTGGAAACACCGTCGAAGGCAAACGGTTTCTGCGCAGTCATAAAGTCGCGGTGTCTTCGGAAGATGTCGACGTCAAAGAAACTGCTGACGAAGAAGAAAGATTGAGTGGTCAGAAAATCGATGACTTAATGGCCGGTACAGCCGCCACTTAGTTTAAGCATTGGTTCGGCAATGGCAAGTCTGCGTCATCAATCTGGGATAAGTTGAAAGTCGACGACCACCCAGCCCGCCGCAAAATTTATGACTGGTACGTTAGCTACATCTACCGACACGGATAACTGTGAGGGTTGCTGTGCTTTACTTCATCTGAGACTATAAATGTGATACTTTCACGACGTACTGGTAGCTCAAGACTGTTGAAATGAGATTTTCTCAAGAAAACCCGAAGATCCCTGCGTCTGACCATATTTGTGCCAATCTTCAGTTTATCCACCTTTTTAAGCTCCCAAAGCAATGCTTGACTCCAAGTTTATTTGTAGGAAAGAGAAGTGAACATTGCCGTCCCAGTCAGATTCATCACCCCTCCTCCAAGTATCTTATACCGCCGGCAGAGTTTGGGAAAGTTAAGTCATGATGTTATTGGCGGGAAGGAGGCTGGCCAGTAAATATCTGGGAAATTTATCCTGGCTATAGTAGTACGTACATTGTAACGAAACAGCAAGCATTTAATTAGCAGCAGCCGCTGCATATCCAAATGTCGTACATGCACAGAACTGGTTTGTGGTGGTTCTTGTCCGTGTCTGCGACTATTGCCTGGTATTACGGCCACAACAAAATTCTACACCATTTCAGGTCCGTTCTCCCCAGAGGACGGACTCAATACAACCACCTCCTGGGTAGTGATTTTATTAATCGCTTACTAAATTCATTAAAAACCACTTATTATATACGATACCTTAATTAATTAACGTAAATGCTATCGTCCATGCGCTGAGTATATGAATTGTCCAGGTGGCCATCCATGTATTGTCCAGGCCGTAAAATTACCGACCTGAAAATTATAAATTACGGGTTGTGTAAAATACATGTATTATGCATGTAAAATGTCCATGCTTCTCAACGATTTTGAGGGCTACCACAGCCACTCACTTCACTTTCGATAAGCCGGAGCTTCCGGTACCGTCGTCGCTGTGCACGTCGTTGCCGCCCTCCCCCGCTCCGATATGTCGGATAGCAAGTCTGAAACTCCCCCACTGGAGCCTCCCGCGCCCTCTTCACTGCCGACGCCGCCATCACCGGCCTCAGAAACCGCGACAGGTCAGCCAGAGGTGCGTTGCATAACTACCTGATCTCATACGTATGTCGGTTTTGCTAACTACGTGCCCTCAACAGGCTAGCTCGAGCGAAGAGGCGTCAGATGCTGCTCTTTCCGCTCCTCCGAACTCTGCAGAAGACTCTGAGAACTCCGACGAGTCGGGCACCGACAATGCGGAACGTCCATGCAGCGTTTAGGTTTCAGATTGTCCAGTGCCTGTTTGTGCCCCGGAAGCCCTTCACTCAAGCTGGGCCGACTGGGCGGTCTATTTGAAAAAGTAAGCATCTTCAACGCGGCAGATCATCCGAGTTTTCATTACTGTGAGCTGCGACTTGCGGAACAAGCGGTTAGCTAAAACTGTCGCTGCACGAGAAGGTCTTGACGTACCATACGTTCCGACCCAGTGGGCAACGTACCAGCGCACATATATTTGTACGCATGGGTGGCGGACGAAGGATCGGAGCACAGGTGTGCGGCCGAAGCAGTTTGTTCGTGGCACTGGGTGTCCTTTTCGGTTCGTGGTTCAAGTCGTGGAAGAGGAAGGCCAGTGGCTGCTTCGAGTGAAGAACGGGGTTTACCACCACAACCACGTCGTGGGTACCGCCCACTTCAAAACTTACGCAGAGAACCGAAAGTTGGAGGATTCTGAGACAAGGTCCACCGTGCGCGAAATGGTGAAGTACGGTCGCAAGCGCGCTCGTATTTACGAATACCTGCTCGACGAAGGGGAAAGCCTGGTTAAGAAAGACGTGGACAACATTGTCCAGCGTGTCAAGGCCGAGTTTCGAGGCGGACTCGACGATGATGATACCTGCGCACAAGCACTTAACGCGTTTGCAGAGATGGATGGCAACGTGGCGACTGTGGACGAGACTGACGCTGACAACTCCGGTGTCATGAGCATGACTTTGAGGCACCAGCGAGACATGACCGTACGCTTCCCCGAGTTGCTGCTAGTGGATTGTACTCACAAGACCAACCGGTAGGTTATATCTATGTATTGTCTAGGTATTGTCCATCTATTGATCTTTATCTCATATCAATCTGCTCGTGTGTTCTAGGTACAACTACCAACTGTGTACTTTGATGGTCATTGACGATAACGGTCGTGGGCAGTCAATTCAACATTCGCTCATCGAACGAAATGCCGACTGGCACATGTCACGTGTTTTAGATCACCTGTTGCGGGTAGATGATAAGATCGGCGAAAAGGTGCAAGTTATCGTGGTCGATAAAGACTTGCACGAGATTTGCGTACTGAAGTAGTACTTTCCCAAGGCGCGTGTGTTGATCTGCTTCTATAATGAGCAAGGTGTCAAATTCTGCACTTGGCTGCTTCTAAACGTGATAAGCACCATACCTTCAGTGCAACATCCTGTGTTGGAAAACATGGTAAACCAAGTGGCGAAATCGAACCCACAGAGCACAATCGTGATCGAGGCCACTGAGTATCACTACGCGATGCTATACCGCTTGAAGCCACCATCCTGGGCGAACGACGCCATGATACGTGCTTTCTGCACAAGACTGTGTGCAACAAACCCTACTGCTCGTGTTCTGGGGATTGAGAGCACGGTGACGGGGCGAAATGCCAAGGGCATGAATGAATCCCTCAAGAAAAAAGCGCAAGAGCTGGTGGGAGAGGCAGACCTCCTTATGATCCCGGTTAACGTTGGAAATTCGCACTGGTGCGGAATTGCAGTAGATGTGAAGCGAACTCGAGTCCTTTATTATGACTCCATGAGCCAGAGGACTTACAAGACCGTGCTGGATCGACTGTCCTGGGATTTGGCGAAAACCCTGAGCGACGACTATGAGATTGTATCCATCAACGCGCCAATTCAGACGGACGGCCACAACTGTGGTTTCTTCGTAATGCTACGACTCTGGCGAATGGTAGACAATAGCATTGCGCTGGGTGTAACTCCAAAAGGTCTCACGATATTGCGCTTTCACATGCTTCAGCTAGTGCTCCATGGTAGATCTAACTAACCCATCTAATTTGAGTCTAAATACATGGAGGATATCTGACCAATGCATGGACTCGATACATGGACTATAATACTAACGTTACCTGTGTTCGTGTTCATGCCTAATGCACGGGTGATTTATGGGTTATACGTGGACTCAATACATGGACTACAAAATTGACAATGCAATTTAGCAGCAACTTGATGCGGTGAAAAATTGATCGGCGGTAAATACTTGATTTCAGTATTGATATAAATTACGCAGAACGTAATTTATGGACAACACCTGGCGTGGCTGCATGGGCAGTAGCATCTGCCATTAATTAATTGTATCAATCTAACAACATTTTTACTTTTTATTTAATTACTAATAAAAACGTGCTTTATGATTGATAAGCAAAAGCCTTTATGTTTTGATAATTTATTTGGAAAGGGCATTATAATTTGAGAGAAATGGTCAGTTTTAGTCAATCCAAGAAAGCCATTACCCACCATTTCTTTTTACTGCTCGATCTGCAGCACGTGCGACACGTCTGGGAACTCAGTGTGTGAAGCCAATTTCATACAACACGTAGTTACTCCGACGGGTTTTCCTATTAGTACGAATAAGGGAGGATCCTCCTCAGGAGGGGGTGATAGTAGACTCGCTCGGCAACACTAATCCATGCCTATCCGTGTGCGAAGCACGCGGGCTTAAGCACAGAACAAATCATAGCTATAATAAACCTCGCTTGGCCCTACGGGGTTAATGCCCAGGAAGGTCAGGATTAGGATTGAGGAAGGTGATAGAATTCCGCCAACTCCTCCCCTTTTGGAGATTGCAGTCTCCAGACACCCGTTTCTCATGTTGTAACAATAGTCTGCCTTTCGTGTATTCACTCGTTTTCCTCCCAGATCTAGCTTACAATAAAGAGCTGCTTGCGTATCGGAAAACAAACTTTTAAGTAAGGATGTTATAAATTTTCGTACGCAGTAAAATCAGACGTATTTCGATGGTCATGGCATCCACCGAAAAAAAATTCAGCGAAAGATGTCTGAACAAGCGCTCCGTTGGACACTCCCATCGACGGGCGCTCCTGAAGATGGTATTGTTGTAAGTCCTGGTAGCATGTTCTTGAGCGGTAAGATCAACTCAAGACTGCGAGCCTTCTGCGTAATTTTTGCGCAGCTTTTACATTACTTTTCACCGTGTGCCATACACTGTATGGTGCGAAATTCTGGGTTGTCCTCAGACACGAGATGATTTGAGATAAGTCGAAGGTAGATTGTCCAATGGGCAATGGGGGCAGTCGAGACTGGGGCCAAATTTGAAAAGCCGCCGTTGACAATCGGGTGTGCACATTCTTGTCCGTTAGTGACACTGCAGTCAAAATGCGGGCACTTTTAGTATCGATTGATGGAAGAGCGCGATATTATTTAGGAAAGGGGCGATAAATGAACCGGTCGAATAATACGAAAGAGCGTCAGCACCAGAAGCATGTATTGTAAACGATATCCGAGAGATTTCCTAATTCATACTTAAGTACTACAGAAAAGGTGCTAGAGTGATATTGACAAACATTTTGTACAAAAACAAGATTATAGCCTGGTATCCAGCAACAAATTCAAGAACAGATCACACAACACAACAACTTCAATAATTTGATGTCTGAAGTAGAAGATTTCGTATACGGTACCATCCACGTTGAGTGTAGGGGTGGAGATAGAAAGGTAAGCACTTCAAAGCCGTGGTCATCAAGTTTCGGATGACCATGACCGTCCATACGGTTGGCCCGAAAATATCGATCGGCTGGCCGAAAATTACGTGTAATGTATGTATTAAAGAAAAAAGGCAAAACATAATTGTCTTGGTCAATATTTCGGCTCAAAATAACCTGGCACGCCTCGTTTGCGCGATCCGTAGCGAAGTAAAGGGAAACATGCAGAGCAAAATATCACACCTTTTATCTCGTGAACGCGGTCAACGTAGAGTCGGACCAATTGCATTAGTTTCGATAGAATAATCTTGAAATGTGTAAACGACTAGGCTCTCATTTTTGTACGGGCAGGATATACAGTATTACATACGCATCAGCCCCAAGTGATTGGCATACGCGCACCAAGGGGACTAAATTGTACCTTTTTAAAACATTGTGAATGTAAAGTTGCCGGTCTGTCTTCTCCGACGGCCATCCCATAAAAAATAACATAACTACGACCTTTTTTAATATGTTGGATTACGGGACAATCATCGTTTCTGGTCGGTTAAATATGTTTTTAAAGATGTTTCTATAATTGAGCCCCCGCCCATTCGCTGAAACGTTCATTTCGAAATCTGCAAAGACCCTCCCCCCCCGACCCCCTTCGCCACCGGCCCAAACGTGCAAGATGCGCCTTTGGTACATCCTGACGGCTGTTACTACCATTGCGTCCTTCGCTGAAGGCTTATCTGTCACGAGTCAGTCGAACGTCCTTTACCCAGGCAAGACGGACTCTGTGAACAACATAATATCTACGATTGGTGGCGAGCGATTTTTAAGAACTCAAGAGGAAATGAAGGACGCCAAGATGGCCGATAGTTGGAAGGTGGATGAGGAGGAGATGGGCATGGAACTGGAGAAGGTGCTTTCACAGAAGACATTATCTCTGAAGGAGCCTCTTTTGACAAAGAGCAAGTCGATGGTTGATCTATCCAAGATCGATGACGAGGCAGCTCTCCAATTACTCAACCAGCGCAACCATGACCACTCTAAAGAAATCGAAAAAATGGGTTATACCCCAAAATCGATGAAAGAGACGTTGATAGCTCGCAAGGGCGATGTCCTTCTGGATACTGGGAATGTTTACCTGTTGGCCCAATACTCCAGATTTTAGAATGAAAGGCACCCACAATTGAAGAGCGGCCAAAATCTGCGGTCGTAGACTGTCGAAAAAGACGTACCAGTCGATATAGACTAAGCGTCGACTGTGAAAATTTGCTTGACAAAGTTGCAATCATGCTCCAAAAGAGCGTTTTCTAGAAACGAGTAAGTACGAGAATACTACCTTTTGAAAGATGTCTTTTGGACGTTTCTTTCCTGCTTTATACCACTTTAAAATACAAACCAATAGTTCGTCCAACTAGTAACTACAATTTTTTTTGTAGTGCAAGCTTCGGAGAGGCCATCGCCACCTTTTCACGATCTTTTTGTAGCAGAGCATGGAGACAACTAGAGGCTGAGAAAGCAAAAATGCTTTCTTCGTTTTGAATTTGATACCTTGTGCTACTTAAACACGTGGCTACAGTGGCAAATAACCCGTTGCGCCAGCTTCGTCGCAGCAACATCGGCTTTGTTGCCCCTAAGAAACGAGCGTAACACTACCAGGATAGTTAGCAACTTTGAAGCAGACGCAATTCTATCTTCTAACACTAGTGTAGGCATGGATCACATACAAAAAAGAGATTTGTCGAGTTGGACAAAATTTACGGCCACCATACTGTTACGAGAACCGTCCATGGCTCTGGGACTTGCAGATGAACGTTCCGCTGAAGACTGCCAACGCACAGAATCAGCGCTGAAAGTCGCGCGCGTTTGGTTCTTGAGCATCTGCATCGAAACTTGGGGATACGTCGGCTGTATTCAACTGCTCGAGAACTGTGCTCATCGACGTCGTCTCATGTGGATGGGTGGACAGCCTGAACGCTCCTGACGCCAAGTCATACAACGGCCAAGTCATAGATATCCTCTCCAAGCTACATCGCGAGACACGGATGCGTACGCTCATAAGGTTCAGAGTGCTCTTAAACCGTTTCGCATCGACGAGGGAGGCTTGACGACGCATTTGCACCGGACTTGCCCAATGACTAGTCGAAGGTCGTTTACGTCTATGAGTCACGTACTCTTGTATTTCAGTCCCTATGACGTTTCTTTCCGCCTAGAACACTCGGTATGGAGGTTGGTATATCGGCGGATGGTCGCCATTATCGACAGAAAATACAAGTAGGTTAGTACGCCCAGGACGCAACGACGTCTCGACGAGTATGTCGCCGAATGGTTGAAGGAACTCCGTGGCCAGCCCCTTCTTTTCGATACCAAGCTTGAACTCTTCTAAGGCGACTTCGAGTTCCTCGTTGAACACTCGGTCTAGTGTAGGCATGGATTCCGTCGCATCTACCGCTTCGTCACTAATATCTCCAATAACGGAGTGTATCCATTAGTCTTCCGCTTCACGGCCATTTGTTACGGCCCAGCTTGACTTATCTGACCTGCGTTCTATGTCCAGGAAAGGTTTTAGTTAAAACGCTGACTCGGGGATCGCAGTAATACCAGCCAATTGAGTACTCCTCTTGTTGACCGCGTCCTTAATACAGGGGCTGCACGCTTCCACGATCACTCGGTCATCATGTAGCGCAAACAGTGTTCTGCCGACTTCAACTTAGGCACCTAGAGCAGTAAGTCCTTCCACCAGAACGGTAGTTCCGTTAACCACTTGTACGTCAGCCACTACAAGCGCTTGTCCTCCCGGACGGATTTTGACTTAAGACGAGATACGAGGCATGTAAGACTCCTCCACTCGAGGGGATCCGATGGGGAGCACCTCGCCCGTGTCTTTCAACGTCACAGTGCTCTCAGCTAGCTCCACCACTATCCGAAAGGCGTTGGGTGTATTAGTGCCTAGGATAGCGTCGACGTGTAGCTTATGTACGACGGCAAAATGTATTCTTCTCTCAGCAGACCCCAAAGTCACCGGCAACCCGATAGCGCCGTCGATAACGAGTGTCGGCCCGGATATACCGTTCAGACTATCAGAGTAGGGCAGCAGAGGGGGCGTTAGCTAGGCCAAGACGCTTCAGAATACGTCAGTGCACTAAACACACTACAGCTCCGGCGTCAATGAGAAGTTCCGCAGGGCGATTATCAATATATCCCCAAGGCAGTGCTTCCACATCTTCTACTGATCCGATCACACCCTTGCCGTTGGGACGACCTCAAATTTTTCCGTCAGTGGAATTGTTCCGGGTAGGACTCGGTAACTCTACTAGACCGGGTTAGTGTCTGGGTTTGGGACCGTCGGCGACGACGTTCACACAGTCTACTCTCCCCATCTCGTAATGAACAATTTTCGCCCAGGGCTTCCGTGCGACCGCTAAACAGCGATGGCCAGTCTAAACTGACCTCCTTACGCTTAAGAAAGCGCTCGGTGCTATGACTCCTCAAATGGCAGAGTCTACACGGTGAGCCCCCCTCGAGAATTTTTAAGCGTAGCTTATCAGTGCTCTGTAATCTTCTTTGCAACGGCCCCCCCCTAGTCGAGAATCCGATGGCTCGACGAGACGCTCGAGTAGTTTACTAGTCCTGGTTAAAAAAACTCAGGGGCCCATATGGGATCGTATAATCGTCTCTTAACGCCTCCACTTGCAACCCTTCGTCACACCCTTTACCCAGGATGCCGTTGTAAGAAGCTTTAGCTTTCATAAGAGACTACAAGGCTCACCATATCACACCATATTATGGTTCAGGGGCGATCCCGCGAGAAACAATGAAGTCGTACTCGGCCCTGCTAAGGTGAGATGACTTTTCGGCGAGCCTTCCAGAGCCAGAGCAATGTTGTCCTCACAACCGAGTGGCCCAAATACATAATTCAACACTACGAGGAGGTATTTTTAACTCCGGGAAGTGTACTACCTTCTTAGGTAAATCCTTCCATGATAACCTCTTCGTCGGAGTCACACGACCTTCGTCTCTAAAATCCAAGTCGCACGAAGTTACTGCATTGATAGGAACCGGCGCTCCCTCTTTGAAGTTACGGTTAGCGCTCTTCGCTTCATTAGACGAGGCTAGCATCGTCTGGTACGATTCCAACCAGTATTCCGTCGTGGACAGTCTACAAGGGGAAGACTCTCGGGTCCTCGCTAGTTTCTCCTCAGGGGTGTCTAGTAGAACACTTAAGTCGACCAGAGACAATTACTTCGACTGTTCAGCGTTTTCGGTCAATCGACGCTTTATTTTCATCTCGTCGAGAGGGGGCAGTCGATCTTCGAGTTCCTTGGCGTACTCTTCTTTCTCTTCGACCAGTTCAAATTTCCTACCTTCTTCAAAAGCGGCCAATTCATCCTCGGAGCCCACTCGCACATACGAAGGCTCCTTTTTGAGGTCACGTTCTATGGGATCAGGAAGGTGACGTTTAAGTGTTTCTCTCGGTAGTAGAGCCTACTTCAGGAGCGGTCACGTTTTTTTTTTATCTCGCCGAGATCCGTCTCCGGAATCCGGACACTTTCTTCAGTAAATCCGCAATCTCTTTAGGACGGTAGTTCGAGCACCTTTGGTACGTCTCGGGCTGCTGTAGGTGGAATTTTGATTCATTACTTTTCTCGTCAATCTCCATAACACTTGAAGCCACGTTGTCGTAGTTATCTGGCGTCGTCGGGTATTCTCGCTCCGCCGAGGACGCCTTGGGCCACGTTCACTCAATTTCATCTTCCTTGATAAGTTCCTCTCTCACTATGGCTCCATCATAAGTACTCCTGACTCTCACGCCAACGCTCGTCAATGTTCGAGACGACTGGGGAGCCGTTCTACACGGGCCCAGAGCTATTACTAGCCACAGAAGTTTCTTGTTCCATCCTCCAACCGCTGATCGTATTACGGTCTACTGACGCACCGTTCAACACGGGCGCAGTACCTCCGTCTATCATATGCGGTAGTTGTCCCACAATTCTAGTCACATATGCTTCATACACAGTCATACAGATTCACGTCTTTCCAGCATGGCGGAACATATCCCACCCACAACAGGACACCCTTCATACCTCTCGATCAACACCGCAACGGAGCTCAAAGTGCTCCCATTCGAGTCGCTCCATATACAATAAGGAGGAGCGACACTCCTTTCCCTCCCCCTCGCCCCCATCAGTGCTGGTTGGGCGCTTGTTACTGGATGAGTATCGATGCCAAGTCTCTTCAGGGACGCTTCCAGAGGACGCTCAGCAATCTTGCGAACAGGTTCACCACACAGAAGCACCTGCGACTGTTCCTCTGCTGATTCTTCATGAACCCTTTGGCAGGAACACGCTCTAATTTAGCATCGATGTGACTCACTTTCTTGCAGTGAGGACAGGTGGCCTTGTTGCGACGACAGCGGATCCGAGTACACCCCGACCACACAAAATAGGACCATCGTGAGTTTGCATGTCATTCCTAGTCGAATATCTCTTAAAGGAGGGACAGGAAACGCTCCACTGGGTTGAAGCGGCTGCTAAGTGTATGTTCAGAAGGAGTGTACGCCGAAGCCATGTTCATCACAGGAGTAGCATAAGCAGTAGACAAAAGACGCTCCATTAACTGTTGTTGCTGAGTGAAAATATTCTGGGTCTGCTGCATCATGTTTATATTGCGTTTTAAGGATAGCGTCTCGTTGGAAGTCCCAGCGGTAGGAGCATTATCGAACTCGGAGTCCTCTTCAACCTGACGGTGCGGGTTTTGAGGAGTAAAACGGCTATCGCCGTAGGGATTGCGTCAATCATGGTAGTCGAGAGAGCGTTTCTTCACTCCCTGGTCCGAGGACCCGACAAGTAATACTGGTAATGCACCTGAGAATCGTAACACTGGGCACATCGCAGAGGCTTGAAACCATGCCACCCCACACTTCAGCGGACATCGCTCGGGGTCGGTTCTTGAGGATCCCGATCATTTTCAACGAGGACTGACAGATGAATTGACTTTGGAACCGAGTCCTCAAAGCCTTAAACCTGTTGATGCGCGATTACATCTACCACCCTTCCCCGGCTTGACACTTTAGGCACTCACGGAAAGCACTGAGTCGAAACCGCTAATCCAGTTCGATACTAGCGCGTTCAATAGCAGAGCGATCGAGCCTTTCCACGGACGCTCCTT